TAATTCTAAGACATTTGTGATCAAATACTAGTAGCTTGCGAGTGTCTTCTACTCTTAATGGCCATGTTTCGCTGCCGTAAATTAAAACAGAACGAACTGCCGCGCAGTATACTCGTCCCTCAATTGATAGACGGTTATCTCACCTTCGCCATAGGTGACGTAAGTTGGCAAAAACCAAACGTGCAGAGATTTTGTCAGATATCAAACCACTCGGGCTGATCAGAATTCCAAGATAAGTAAAGTTGTCGACGCATTATATATATATATATATATATATATATATATATATATATATATATATATATATATATATATATAGCTTTCTTAAAGATTGTCCACAATTTAATTATAAAAAATTTTAAGTGTCGCATTAATGAAGAATATTTTTAGTTCAGAATGAGGATGTTGTGTTATCCTAACTTATAGAACTCATTATCAATACTGTCATTATGCAGTTGTGGTGTGTCGATGGACGTAAATAGTATGTATCATCAATCGAAAGTGAAATAACAGGCGGCAGAAGGTTAAGAAGATCGAAAAAAAAACAGAATGAGAATAGAGAATGATTGATGTAAGAGGGAAAGAACAATCAAATCTGAGACGGTGGTTTCACAATTTGCAAATGAAGTATTTACTGTATGGTTCCCAGATTTTACTAACATTCATTTAGAAGTAAATGAAAATTGATCAACCAATCGCAAATTGTTCATTTGAAATATTTCTGTATAAATATAGTTATTCCAAACAAACTATCTCTGTAATCTATTTTTATGTAAATCCTAGGAAAAGAAATGTACCTATTCAAGCAGAAACTGAGGAAAAACTAGTCCAATCTCCAATGAATCCTGACAAAGAAATTGGATTATTTGAAGAAAATTTGAAAAAAAGATTTCAAGCCAAAACGATTACAGAATTTAAATGTTTCGACTGGTCAATGGTACCAAATAGTGAAATGAAACGATTAAATTCAAGAACTTCTGTGCCGAAAAATATTGTAGTTCAATCACAATTGTAATTCATGTGATCATATAGAAGAAAATAACAAAATCCATAAATAGGATTGAATACAGTTTTAGTGACATTAATTATGATTAACAGATCACTGAGTAATTGTCAATGCCATATTTATCTGATCTGTTGACCATAACTAATATAATAGCTCAGTGATGATACAGTTTCGAACCAAACAGTCAGCACTAATTACCACAAAATCGCAGGTACGCGTTGTCGAATACAAACTAGCACAAGGTCTAAGTCTAGAGCTTCCTGTTGACTACGTCCAACCACCTAGAAATTAGTTATGAAGATAATTATATTTTTATTCGTTGAAGATACCAAGAAATGTTGAAATTCATTTGTAGAAAATAGGGATTATTCTGTGAAGAAGATAATCTTCTTAGCGGTATTTATTTACTAAAGCTAGTTGTTGCACCATTAACAGTATTCGGAAATCTAAAGTACGAAGACGAAGAGTATCAGAACTTTGTGATATATTAGCGCAATAGATCTTGAACAATCTGATCACAATCATACAAGTTAAAAACATGAAAATAAAAGGTCGAACAGAGGGTAGGAGGAAACTATGATAATCAAAATAATATGAAAATTCATCACGCTGGATAATAAGCTAATATTACCACGGTAAGTTTGAGGTGAGAACAAACTGTTTTTTAATACACAAATGGAGTTCGAATTTTCGTGTGGCTAAGGCGTCGGTAGACCATAGTATATGTCATTTAATGCTTTTGTACAACACCGAAAATGCCGTGTTACGATCAATTTTATGACCTGTTTCAAATAAATGTTTGGCAATAGGGGATGATAGATGTTTATCATCTACTCTAATTGGGTCACAGTGGGATGTGACGCAATCACTTTCAAGTCTTTTAGGTTTTGGATGAAGCATGGATCTTGTTTTTTCTTGATGACCTTTCACGTGTAGTATGTTTTGCTAATAACACAATTTATTGATCACTGGGTGGTGATCAATATCATGCGTGTCTGGTCCTTATTAGTGCAGATCGAATGCTATCAACCATGTTGCAATGTGGCCACCAGTCTCGGTGACTCGACACTGCGTGCACTAAATACTGAGATTAGATGGTGGTTGGAGGTAGTCGACAGGAAACCCTGAACCCTGGTTTCATGCTACTTGGCACTCGTCAGCAAGGTGTACTTGTAATCTTGAGGGAACTGGTGGATTCGATCTCGTGTCACCCAGCTTCACAGTCAGAGACGTTACTACTGAGCTATCCGAGCCGCGACTAACCACCTGTAGGACTGAGATGTTATCACAATTGATTGATCACTGGGTGGTGATCAATCTCATGCGTGTCCAGTCCTACAGGTCCCTCGCGGCTCGTATAGCTCAGTGGTAACGTCTCTGACTGTGAAGCTGGGTAACACGAGATCGAATCCACCAGTTCCCTCAAGATTACAGGCACACCTTGCTGACGAGTGCCAAGTAGCACGAAACCCAGGTTTCCTGTCGACTACCTCCAACCACCATCTAATTTGTTAATAACTGATTTAAGCTTTTTTTTATTAAGAGGTGATTTGACTCACCTTTGAAAGGTAAGTTGATGTAGACAGCTATATTTGTGCCAAAGCTATAATAGGTTTCACTGTACTGTGACCTTGCCATCGATTTATAAATTTTAGAGGATAAGACTTCTCATCAATGTTTTGTTCAACTATCTAACTTCGTCATCAAGTTAAGTGATCAGAGTTGATTAATATGTAGTAGGCATTTGATAGCCAAGAGAACATGACTTTTCTAAGCACTTCTTCGAGTACAGCAGTCTTCAAAAGCATAAGTGAAGTATAATAAGAATTGGGACCAAGATAACTTATTTCCATTTGGTTTAATCGCCAGTCTTTTAGTTATTATACTTACAGATTCGAACACCTATACAACTATTCTGCTTCCAAACACATTATGATTTAAAGCTCAGTAGGCAGAACCAGCGTAATATTCTTTATCTTCCACTACCTGCTGTCATGTTGCTATACAGTAATGAACAAAAACATAATTGGTGACGGTCAAGTGTATCTTAATACAAAATTACAGAGTCTTGGTAAAACATGAGAATCATACATGAAATACGTCATTTTCAAATTTTATCACTTTTCTTTCACATTTTGTATAATTCTTCTGATTCACAATTTCTTTATAATTGCTTTAAATCAACTTTCATAACCCTCTGATACCATGTTTTCCACTTCCGATTGGTGTTAAGTACTACTTATATCTGTCGACATAAGTAGCATACACTACAGTCACAGAGAACCTTAACGAATACATACATTCATAATTTAAGCTTTACTTTCAAATCGATTCGTTGAATTAGGCAATGAGTCACCAGTTTATACAATTAAAACTGAGATCTTAATAAGTTTAATGAACTATTTAACAGTACAAAACAAGATACAATGCTATTGAGTTCAATAGTTGTTTATGTTGATAAGAACAATTTGTTGACCAGACTTATTTGATGATAATATCCAACTGTAGGACGACTATTTAATAAGAGGCGAACAGTCCAACCGTTTATGTTTAGAGTAGATTATCATTAAAATAAAATAAAAACATGACTGACTAACAGACCTATCTACTCAAACAATATGATGTAGAATAAATCTACTTAAAAGATAGTTCATGTGTAAAATAAGACTTAAAGAACGATATATGTAAAAAAAACCGTCTAAAGCTTCACAATTTAACTCCAAAAAGATCGATTTTACACTAGCTACTGAGTATTCTTTGGATGATGATCAACGGTACTAGTTTTATTAGGTATGTGAAACAGATTTCCGAAATTCCTACAAAATACAACAAACGAAATCCACTATGCCGTTGAAGAAATAGAAACAATCCAAAAAACAAAATTTCCTTGCCGATAATAACCCTTACTAAAACTGTACACACTAATAGTTGAACCATGAGTCGATAAACGCTTCACCACTATTGAATACTTGGAAGCACTGGAAGGCCGTCTCGTTCTAGTATGAAACTCGTCAGCAACGAGCATCCACAATCCCACATACGGGACTCGAACCCAGGACCTCCGATCTCGGACGCGAACGCCTAACCTCTAGACCACAGAGCCAGCATCTAATGATGTCAATGTACCTGTACAGCTATATTTTTTAGTGATTAAATGGGTGGAGGCTTGGTGACATACACCAGTAAAAGTAAATACATTCTTGTGTCCAACCCCGTATTCTTCTAAATACACCTTCGAAATAAACAAAGTTACAAAGCACTTTTCATTCAAGATTTTCATAAAACGTCAAATCTAGTATCTTAAATCATCTCAATACATATATGAATTTATATTCCTTTGAAATGATAAGGGTGTTTGTCTACTACGAGACGAATGATTTCCTCTAAGAGCAGTTCATTTTCTTTCTAAACAACAACTGGTGCACATGGGCTCCAGTATCCTAAAGGAACAAGTAGCGTATGAACCAATCGTTGGTCACCGGCTACCATGGGAATGCATCTCCTCACGATGCTCCACCGCCTTGTGGATCAGACCTTTAGGTCAAAGGCTCGGGGTGTGGCCCCCTAAGAAAACCACCTGTTTCGGTCTGGGCACCCGGGCAGTATCACAGCCCACACACACACAAATATGGTGTGGCGCATATATATTTGATGCCTCCTTGTACCAATATTTATGTGTTGAAACAAAATAAAACTAAGCAACAACATGCTTATTATACTTCATGAAGAAGACAACGAAATGCTTCACCAATTAATAAACCAACCATTAAGAATACGATAACCCTATCACATCTCTTCCTATCTCTCACTGAACATACATCGAGAAATTTGCAACAAATACCATAAACACACATTTGTTCTTGACAATCTATGAGAATAATAATAGTAATAAGAGTGGGACAAAAGATCTATGTTACTGTGACTTATGAAAACCGCACTGTAATTTTGATGATCATAACAGAAATAAACAATGATAATGATAATATTAATACAAGTCGAATATAATTATAAACAAACAAACAAGGCAATGTACATAGAAACAGGAAGAAAATATTTGTGCACAACTTCTTTGTTTACTTTTTTTTCTTTCATAAAAATAATTTACAAAATTAAACAAGCAATAAGTTAACAAGTACCCACATGAAGACATAGATATATTCATTATTCCGAGTGTATGAATAACATTATATGCATATAAATTACTTAATGTATAACAGGATATAAAAAACCAATAATATTAGTGCTTTTATACACACGTGACAAGTTTAATATCCATCTAAATAGAGAAGAAAACAAATAGGATACACTTTTACATCTACTACTACTACTACTACACGAAGAATTTCATCATTAATGTGATAGAAAATATCTGAGTAGAAATGAATCAGTGACACTAAACACTACTACTTATCAACAATAACAGTAGTAGTAGTAGTATTAAGAGTAGTAATAGCAATCATAAGAACAATGAAATAGGTCACATAAAGAACAAGTGATGTTGATACATTTTTTTTCATGATTTTATTATGTATTATAAATGAATAAATATGAACGGATGAATGGATGGCTACTATGCAGATGAAATTATACACATATGAATAAAAAGCAAAATATTATACCAGAGTGTGTATACATACACATACAGAAAAAGAAGACGATGAATAACAATAATTAAAATTATCACTACCCTTAATATCAAATTAATGAGGAATTACTGATGTATACATATATATAAATGGGACAAAAAGAAAGGATAAAATAAATAAATTATTCAAATGAGACAACAGTTCGAATCCAATCAATATACAGTTTTGAAGTTTTGAGAAATTAGTGCTTCTTAGATGAAAGAATAAAACACATAAAATTACAAGTCAAATACATACACAAACACTGTGTGTTTGCTTAGTTCAACACTGTTGTCATTCTTAACATGTAATTTCCACGAAACATACACATAAACTCATCAACTCACAAAAGAGGAAATAATTACAAATTACAATCATACATCGCTTGCATATTATAAAGTAAGGATGAAAAGAAAAGAACCATCACCTGAGTCACAAGAAAAGATCACTTGGTTCTGAAAACATAACATAATAACGATTACCATTCCAATCAATGAAGAAGAAAATTTCAAAACAATGCATAGAATCACAGTTTTATTTATTAATTAAATGTAATAAAAGCAACAAATGGACTGAAAACAAAAAGTTTAAGTTTTATGTAAGAACTATTCGACAGTGTCTACATAAAGCTGATCACCATGTTTTGATTTCATTTGATGCATTTATTGCTGTTGGTGCTAAGATTCTACTTTGGAGACATTTTTATGATTCACCAAATCTAATGGATTATAATCACCAAAATAACCGGTCCTAGCGCCTTTACTAACAGTCAGACTATTATTGGTAGATTTCTGTTGAACATTAGGATGATGATTGTTCAGTTGACATTTAGAGTCTGTGACAATAGAACAACAACCATTGAGCATGTTCAATGTTTTGCTAGATGATGGATAACAATCGCCATTTAATTGTGAACATTCAGTGGATTGAGTTAATTTATTTTTAACTGGATGATCATTTTGTTGAGTGTATATTTCAATATGATGAATACTATCATCATTAGTGCCGTTGGATAAGATTGAATCTATAGGGAAATTTGTCGAATTTATTTCTTTATCCATTTCATTCCAATGATTCAAATGGGATTTATTGTCAGACCAATCCAAATTGTTAGAGATATCACCATTCATATGATTGTTACCATTAGTCAAATAATTATCTCGGTCCTTTCAAATGATAAAGATTTTTTAAAAAAAGATATGAGAAGCAGTGAATAATATTAAGCATCGATAACAAATACACACGTAATAAATCAGTGAAGACCGATTCAGTCATATAATGATTAAGTGCTTGCCAGGAAATCTGAAGCTCTTCCATACGATCACCGACAAAGGCGTGGATGCACACACTAGGAGTAAAACAGCTGTGCAGTACATTCTGACGTGCATTTGGCCCTATTTAGGAATTGTTAACTGAATATGCCTGCATTCCAGGGTTGATGTTCACTTCGAGACTCGAACCTAGTACCATCTGCTTCAAACGCCATCGCGTTATCCACACTAAGTCCCGGAGTGAACATCAACTGCGGTACGCAGGTACATCCAGCTGACGAGTCCCAAATAGGACGAAACGTGGGTCCTGAATTCCACTGCTAGCCACCATCCATCTATGTTCATAGTGCGTGTGAATTAAGACAATTGGAACAGCATGCACATATGCCAATAAGAGACTGATCAATTGCGGTCCTGAATATCAATGTGAAGAACAAAAAACCAATACAAAAATGAATTTAAACACATTGTTATTGGTTATAACATCATTTTCATTTAGGTAGGCAGCAACGTACTCTTTAGATGTCAACAGGTTAATTTGTAAAGTACAGCAATTGTGCATTGCTTATGCTTGAACCATATTTGTTAGTGTGAGACCTGATGATATTATATAGCCTGTTGTTGTAAAACGCAAGTGGGTGAGGAAACAATTAACGATAAACAAACTCATCCACTAGGTGCTTGGGTATGAGTCACACTTTGAGTATGGGGGTTAATGACACACTACCCGGTTGCGCAAACCGAAGTTAAATGGGGTTCGGATCTGAGACTTAGTTAACGAATGTTGAAGCCTTGACTTTGTATATTGAAAAAATATAGTTTGCTCAAACAAAATTTTGTGTGTACGTATTTTGTACACCACATTATATGTCTACTTGATCATGAATTATGAACAAAAAATTTAAGAGAAAGGGAAAAAGCACGATCTTACTAAGACCAGAAAAAGAGTATACTTTATTTAAACTGAAAAATAATGAATACCATTATTGTAGTCGTCTTATTACACTATACAAATTTATCAAAAAGACTAATTGCTTTGAATACCATAATTGTTTACAATTGATTTTTAGCTAATTTATTCGGCAAAATGAACTAAGTCTTTCTACATAGTAATCAATTTCTTAAAACAAAAATACCATTAAAACAACTGCATACTTGTTCATCAATTCGGTCTGAATTAAGAGGTGACTGTTTATTAGGAGTAGAATTTGATGAACATTTTTGTGAAAATTGATCCGATGAACTGTGATCTGACAAATCGTCCATCTGATTTTCATCTATACTATTATTGATCGATGATGAATAAGTAGGTTGACATACAGATATTGTCGGACCTCCACCATATATATTGAACAGAAGACTCCATACTTCAGCAGAAACACATTCGTAATTACCAAGTGGTATTGATGAAAGAGTAGGATAATTAAATGATCCACTGTTACGATACGAATAAAGAGATTTATTGCATGGCATAATGTCGGAATTATCAATAGGACCTGGAGCTTCTGTAGTAGAGAAACATGTATATGCATAAAACAATATTAAAATTAACAGAATGCTGCGTATACAACAGAAATCCATTTGCACTAGTGTTAAAATGTATTCCATTACCAGAAGACTCATCAGCAATATATAACAGATCCATACGCTTTACGAAAACGGTAAAACAGTGTATATGAATAAGAATTTTAATTAGAGATTAACAGTCAGTTGGATTCGTTCTGAAGCATTCAGTGAAAAATTTTGATGAGCTTAAATGTGTAGAAAAAGACACAATACTGGGCAAACAAATGTGTAAATCAATCAGTCTGAGAACAAAAGACTATATTTGTTACTTTATTTCTACTAGTTTACAAGGAAAGGTCGAAATCACCTAGTTATAATTTAAGAGTGCAAAATAGGATAGTCGAGCAAAGTTACCGAGTGACAGACTTCATGAACATGGAACCAGGCACAGATGTGTGCTGGCCCGAGCCTCCATACTGCATTAGCATGAAAAGATGAAAATGAAACAAATCGAAGTAATTCAACAGCAACGATAAAAAGAATTAACCTTGAGAATATCGTTTAAAAAGGTAGTGTAAAGGTATGTGTGAAGAGGTATTGGAATTCAAAATCGGAAGAAAGATAAAGAGTGATGGCATCGTAGCAATTTTGAATGATTTTAAGCTATATCACACGACGTCTTTCTAATCACTAAGCCGCACTTATCGCGCGTACCTTAAATAGATGATCGGCAGCTAACAACATGGTCACAGCGGCAATTAAAAAGCTTGCACAACATTTCTATATGAGATAATGGTAACGAATGTTATTCAACTAAGAATAGGTACTCTTGCTACTTTCAGTCATGCATATTAGTAAAAATAACTGCACCAAAACTTTTAAATATATGGAAAAAAAATCATCTGTGATGAGATTAGCAACGAGAAAGTCTAGCTAGTTATTAATACTTAGGTTTGAAACTGTGACCTAATATTTACAACACATTTTGTGAGAAAAACGTCGATACCTGATAAATATCGTTCCTAAAATTAGAGATAATGGGTGATGATAATAACAATTAGTCAAAAGAGAAGAGACAGTATAACATAAAAACCCTTTCTTCTCATGTTCCATGCATTCAAGCATTCTAGCTATTCCTGTCTATTTATTTAATGATTTTCCATCCGTTCACGGTGTGAAGAAGTTGAACACATCGAATGCTTCCACTCATTAGACCTGATGGTTCGCCATCTGACGGAAACTCGGCACGGATTCAGAAGGTTTGATTGGCTTCTGCCAACTTGAGTCACTCATGGCATAGGCAAAATATCCATCTGCCAACCAAACGGCGAGTTTACTGAGCAGCAGTTCGCTCCGTTCTACTTTACGAATGTGAAACATAACCCTTAAGAGTAAAGAATATTCGTAGGTTACTTGTATTCCATCACATGTGTCTACAAAGAACTTGTAGTGTATTCGGGGACCACCAAGTAAGCAATTTTTGCGTTGCAGATAAGCTAATAGGTAAGGATGGCGAATCGATTGATAAGGAAGTAAATGTTTATCAACTGGGGTGTTTGGGACATGTGATACGCATGTCCAACTACTGCAAACGTAGAGTGTGATGTTTTCTGAAGCAAGAGTAGGGTGGAAGAAAGCATCAATTTATGGAGTCACTGACAACTGGACTTGGCCATGTAAATAGGTGCAAACTATCTGGTTGGGGTCCATATGATCATAGTAAACAACAGGCAGAGAATTTGAATGACATGGCTCAGAATCGTTTGCAATAGCGCAGGTGCATCCGTTCTCTGTATCCACCGAATTCCTCATAACTACATTTCAAGTTTTCTTCGTCATCTGATATCACCTTGAACCGTATCCTCGATCCGTAATATTTTCAATCACCACTGATACTGTCACTATCTCTACTGCTTTGGGATTTTGCTTTATCTTGTTGTGCTAATGAGATATGGCAAATTTAACCGATGTACATATGTACTAGGTTCTACATTGCGACTGACTGAATTAGTGTCTATCTGAAATGTATGACTCAGTAAAATACAAGCTGAAATATTAGAATTAAAGGCGCCAAGTCCGAACTTCAGTGTGCAGGACATCAACACTGGGATGCAAGTATATTCAGCTGACGAATCTCGTGTAGGACGAAACGTGCGTCTTGGATTCCATTGCTAGTTACATACTAAATATACTAAAACTTGTGACATTTTAACGAGAGAATCCACCCAGGATGAATATACAGCAACAGAGACTGATCAATATCAGTCTGGAATATAAAAAACCGGGAACTGCAAACCTTTAGTAACGTATAATTGATAATTGTGAAAAAACATTCCAAAATAAACCAAGAACTCCAATAAAAATCATTCTTCTAAATCACAATCCCATATTTCGAGTGAACAGAATTAAACAAACTACTCTAATACCCTATAAAATTCAATAAAAGAAATCTTTAGTGATAAGCCTTTTTATTTGTGAATATACGTAACGAGAAGAGTTTATATCGCGCATTGGGTGAGAAGGAAGCGCAACAGAAACAGTTTGGCTACTCATAAGTAGTATGATTATGTTAGAAAACGGATTACTGACACAACCAATTGGGAAACATTATTGATTAATGATCTTAAGTCACAGGATTTTTTGATTCTATAAAACTGGTGATAAGTGATTATATCATTGTGACATGGTATTGATATCAATACAAATTACTATACAACGAAATAGTCATTGATTTGTTAACCTTTCAGTATGAACAAGGTATTTTAAATTTAATTAAAACAATGAACTGGTCTAAGTAAGGACACCGATGAGAACATGGCAGCACTGGATGATGGTCTTGTCTTATTAGAGATCAGTCAGCTGGGTAAGCCTTCAACCATGTTGATGCCTATGTTGAGACTCGAACGCAGTACATTTTGCTTCAAACTCAAACGCATTGTATACTTAACTACTTAGTTCAGATAATTGCCGGGTTCTGCAATGGTGGGAAGTTTTAATTCATTTGTAAATGTTTTAATCTTCCCATTATTGATGACTGAATAATCTCAGTTCTTAACATTAACAACGAGAAGATTCAAACAACCTTCATAAATGAAGTGACTTAAGAAAAAGTTATTGATTATTTCATAAATGTGAACAAGATGAGAAAATGAACACTTCGTTATAAATATTCAGATATCTCCCAGTTGAACTTACCCCATATTTGTCCCTTGACAAATTGAAGCCATACATCCAACCATTTTTTACTGACAGCATAAGATGTGGACGATGGAGTGACCGATGAACTAACCTATAATAGTTATAATTCATGAAAAGTGAAAAAAATGTTAAGCTAACCAAAAACAAACATATTCGTTGGAAATAAGTGAGTTGTTTCCGATTGAATATTTTAGATTAATTATGATCCTAATAAGTAACAATCAATCTGAATGGAGAATCAGTTTTGTAAACAACTAGAATAGATTTACATATGACCAGTACTTATTTTGTTTTAGCAGTTTTTTTCTCTTGGATGATTTAATCATGAAACTTTCACTGTTCTTCGAAACGATATCATCAACACGCATTCTTCACGTAGAAGTGATGAATTCAAATTTCTCAACATATCATGACTGATAGCTTGTCCTGTCAACTTTGATTTTAACTGGTTACTGTTGACCCTTAACTTTTTGTTGTCTACACACTTATTTTGAATGTCTCTTCCTCTGACTTGATTGTTGATCTTATATTTGTGCATGATTTTTATAATTGTTTGATAAATTGGATCGATTTCGACGTGTTTATTGATTGATTGTAGATCGACCTGAGTGGAGGGCTTGTAAATTTTGTCTGGTGTGCTTAGTATCCCCTCTATCCGAAATTTAAACGTTTTTTCAGTCGACTATGTGTCTAAAATTGTCTACATGTATTGATATAAGTAAACAGATAATATGGAGTTTGACAGCTAGTTTCTATTCGTCCAGACGAAGATGAAGGGGGGTCCTGCATTAGTAATGTAATTTTTTCTAAGATGATGAATTGAACATTGTCATGGACGATAGAATATTGAGATATTTATTGCTGAAAAACATTAATTTAAATGACGTATAATCAGTCAGTCAGTCATCTAAAATATAGGACCAGGCAAATATATGCATCGGTCCAAGTTGCCACCACTCTTATTAGCACAAGCAGATGAACACCAAATTCATTGAAGCAGTTACTTCAATGGTAGTGATATCTAAAAAAAGATTGCATATAAGGACCGATACACGGAGAAAGAATGATATAAAGTAATTTTAATCTCGCATATTAAGGAGAGATAAGAGTGTATACAAAGTGGTCAAATATACTCAACCCTTAATTGATAGACGGATATCTCACCTTTGCCATAAGTTGGCAAAAGCCAAACGAGCTTTTCGAATCCGTGCTGAGATTTCGTCAGACACCAACTCATTAGGGCTGATCAGACTTTAAAAATAAGTGAATATGTCGACGCGTTCGACTAATTCATTCCCTATCCTTAGTTCAGATGTTGACAAAGGCCAGTCCTGAAGAAACAACTTGCATTTAGAGGGGGAGAAACGCATTCCAAACATTCTGGCATTGTTGCTCAGTGCTACCAATAGACTACATTTTACCATCGTCCTCACCAAACAGGACTATGTCATCTGCGTATTCTAAGTCAGTAAGTGAACATTCTAGTATGTGATCAATTCCTGGAAATCCAGTCGACGAGAATGTTATTTCCATCAGCATGTCGATGATGAAGTTGAACAAAGATGAAGATAGTTGACAGCCTTGACAAATACCACTTGAGGTTGCGAAATCAGCTGACATTTCGCTGTAAACTCTCACTCGACTAGTAGTGTTCGAGTAAAGAGCCCTCACAAGGTTTATGTACTTCTGAGGTACGCCTTTTAATGACAGACACTGCCACAGAACCTCTACGGGTCTACCGAGCCAAATGCTGCTCTTATACCAAGAAAGACCACCATTGTCGGACGCCGATAAGTATGCCTGTGTTCTAGAACCTGACGAATGGTGAATATATGGTCGATGTAGCCACGACCAGGTCTGAAGCCAGCTTGATTCTCTCGTGTTTGCAGTTCATGAGTCTTAGTTAAGCGTCCGATAATTATTGAGGCTAGTATTTTAGATACTATATTAGTTAAACTAATCCCTCTGTGGTTGTTACAGGATGATTTTGACCCTTTCTTATATATTGGGACGATAAGTGATTGTGACCAGTCAGATGGGATTACGTCAAACTTCCAGATTTTAGCTGGAATATTAGTCAACCTAATCTCAAAACTGGACCACTATAGTTAAAGACCTCTGGAGCCAATCCATCTGGATTAGCTGCTCTTCCTCGTTTCAGATTAACTATGGCTTTTGAACTTCGTTTCAAGCAGCATCTGGTTCAGCTTCGCTTTCAGAACTGCCTAAGTATGACCTCAGTTGTTTCTGGAACCTACTTTTGGTTTTCTCGTCACTGAGTTCAACTCTAATGGGTCTTCTTGATGTGGTTTTTCTGCGTACAATGAGGCGCAAGCAGATGCGTGCTCGTATTAGAGCATGATCAGAGTCTAAACATGTACTCCAGAACGAGCGACAGCCTTCTATTGAGCCTCACCAACGATGACTGATGGCAATATGGTCTATTTGAGTCCATCGTTGGATTGGTGCAGGGGGTCATCATGCTAGGCGATGCTTCTCATGCTTAAAATAAGCGTTTGCTAAAAATAAACGATTGTCTGAGCACAGTTGCAGCAGACGACCATCATTATCTGCTCCCCGAGCCGGAATATTAAAATACCCGCCTAAATATCTTTCTGTTTGGTTTAAGCTACCTATCTGGGCATTAAAGTCACCTGCTACGAGTACTATGCCTAAGTGTTTAGCTTTTTGAAGTTGAGAAAGCTTTCTGTAAAACTCATTTTTCACTTCACTCGAGCTGAAGTCAGTGGGAGAGTAGGCAGAAACGACGAAAAAGCAACGGCGTGTGTCCATATCCTTAAAAGTTCTTACAAAGCCGTTTAGCTGAACAGCACATAGGTGATTGTTAACAGGGATCCATTCTAAAAGTGTCTGTTTCGCCCTCGTACTTAGTGCTATGCCTACACCTGCCAGTCCACGCGAACTAGCCATCGGGTCGCCAAATACACGGAGGGTGTGTCTCTTTGGCTCCGAGTCTTGGCGAGGTGAGGTCAAGTGAATGGTCATACTAGGATCCTGTATGCATGTTTCGTAAACACAGTATACATTAATGGTACGAGATCCTAGGGTTTTAGACAAGGTCTGTTGGCCAATTTGTCAGAGGGTATGTATGTTGAAGGATCCAATGTGTAGTTGGAACAGTATTTCGCGCACTAGAATCGTTGGCTATGGTGACACATCAGGAGGAAGTATAGAGTTGATAGTTGAGGTAGGAGGAATAATAGGAATTGAAGAAGAAAATTGATTACGAATACAGTGGTCTTGAGTGCTGTTAGGGGTAATGAGGACTGTTATTACTTCCCGGTTGCCCACATCGTAGAAGTACTCTTCTATAGTTACATGAAAAGGAAAGTGAGTTAGAATTTGTCTTAGTGGCCTGACTGTGTGATCGCTAAGTCCAAGGGATAACTGCTTGAGGGTGGTCACAAACAAACGTTTTGTAGATAATTTCCGTGTTAGATCCGTACTTGTTGGGACCTTACCAATGGAGACGGATATCCGTGAAATAAGGTGAGGTAAACATTTTTAGGGTCAAACTTTTCTAACCCCACACTTCGGTTGTGGCAAGACAGCATCGCTGTCATGCTGGTTGTCTGAGGGAAACACCTTACTGCCGTAAAACCTCTGTACATCTACCAGTACGACTTCGTCCTCGGACCTTGGGTTTCCTGCTTCTAGTCTTCACGTTCTTCAACCGACTTTCCCAGCATTGTAGGACCTTGAGTAAAGATTGTTCCAGCCAATATAGCTCGATTGGTTCAACAGGATAGGCAAGCCCAACCACCACATCAAGGTAGTAGCAATGGTCGGGAGTGCAGTATTTACTGGAAACAGAATCTAAGTTTATAGTATTTACTATAGTCCCCTAATGCCCTGGTACGGCCGAAGGCGGATAGTGTTAGCTCTCCCTCTCCAAATGCTCTCACATGGCCACGCGTATATAGCCTCTGCCAGGGAAGTCCTACTCACTGCCTTCTCGAACCAGGGGTGTTGTTTACAAAATTAAGAGCACGAAGAGCGAATGTCCGACGCTTTAACTAAGTTGGTGTTCCGTACGGAGGGTCAACCTAGGGGAGTTGGAAAACCCTGATTCCAAACCAACGGTGCACATGGGCTCCATGATCCTGAGGGAACAATTGTTGGTCACCGGCTACCATGGGACTGCATCTCCTTACGTTGCTCCACTGCCTTGTGGATCATACATTTGAGTCGAAAGTTCCGGGTGTGGTCCCCTGAGAAAACCACCTGCTTCGGTCTGGGCAATCTGACAGCATCACAGCTCACACATAAATCAAGTGACTTGTATGGCTCATATGTATTCTTTGACTCAATGTGCTAATATTTATGTATTTAAGTAATAATAAACAATATAGTTGAAGATGTACATGGGATCAGTAATATGTAGTAACATTACTTTCATAAATTAGAGAAATAATTCTTAATCTGTCAATATGAGCTGTGTCGATTTTTCTTCTGACAATAAAACACCAAAAAGCAATGATCATTTCAACAACAAAATGCACAAAATCATAATTACCCTCATAATCTCTGACAGTTCATATTTCTGTCTTTTTGAAATAGCATCAGAACAATCACTACAAGGGATTAATTCTTGAATAATTTCATGACCACCAAACCTATAATTTCGAGAAAAATAAAGCGAGTAAGATAGATTTTTTAAAAATATAAATAGTAGGCAACATCATGAGATGTATACTCATCAGGATATTACAGATATATTTTATTCATATTGTAAGCATTATCTATTTGAATTATAGACACATATATATATTATGTCTGCGCAGCTCGAATATGAACGTCAGATCCTAGGAGAATTAATCCAAGACAATTTAGAATATAACAGAAATATGTATCTTATTTGAATACAATGAAAGAGGAAGTTAACAAAATAAGAACGGCAGGGGAACTAATTATTTTAACCACCAGTGGAAAAGTAAACACAGGAAAATAATTCAGAAAGAAATGAAAATAACATTGACGAATGGAAAATTGAGGATTGATATTTTGAGAAAAAATGACAATCAGTTAATAGAACAGCAATATCGTGATCGATTCCAACCTAAAATTCTATAATCCACCCCGCGAAGCTTAGCTAAACATACAATCACTCTATAAAATGATAGCACATCTCGATTTGTCCACCCCAGATTTGTTTTCAATATACTTCTGTCTCATTTAGCCTTGCGTCACACTGTAATCCATAAACTAGACAAACATAATACGTGTCTAGATTAACTAAGTCAATGAATCCAGAACAATACTGTTGCAAACCTTAGAAATAAATTTATACAAATAGACGTCAATCAAATAAGGCATTGAATATGTAGGGACGGCGTCCAATGAACTCAAGGATGTTGGAAAGAGCCGAAGACATTCCATCCAATCATCTTCCAAAAGAAGATTCCAGAATCTCAACGTGTGAACAAACGCTTAAGACCACTGCATGCGGGGATTGGATAACTGTGATGATGATTTCATTTTTACTAAAAACTATAAATACCTGGATGTCTTGTACCATATTTGACATTGTTTGAAATAAGATTCCTTCCCACTAGTCTTCTGACTTCTAATTTGCGACTTGGAGGGTTCAAGTGCTCAAGTAGTACGCGGCATAGCAAGAATCTAATTTCTAGATATAACAGAATTATAGACTGGCTGAATAGAAAAAAAAAATTGAAGAGTGAATACTTTATCAGAGTCGATTGATTGATGTTTTAATCCACTTAAACTATAGCTTTTATTCATCGATTTTCGCTCATCCAAACAACTATTATTCCTCATACAAAACAATAAGAACAAGTGATTTTTAGCGAATAATAGACACACGCATATGAACAGACAAGATACAATCCATAAGCACATGAGTTAGAGATAACTACAAGTACACAAAAGTAGTAAAAACTGCATACAAAAAGGATCTCATGATTACTAGAAATGAATAAGGAATTAGCAAAACAAAAAGAGAATTGGCAAATTGCATTTTGAAAGTATTTAAAGTAGGAGAAAAGACTTGAATAAATACAAGGAAAACAGCTTGTTAAAAATTCCGTTGAAAAAGAGGTTGATAAACAGACAAGGTGAATTCATGTTATATTAACATTAATTATGGTATGATGAGGTATAGAAATCCTAGTTGAGTGTAGTTTATGATTGATTTTTTTCTAGGTGAAATGGGATATCAGTTGTGAGGATCCATTAGTTCGTCTTTTTATTGTTATACGAAATCGCAATTTTTGAAATTATTGCTTATTGATTTATTTTCTATTTTACATAATCCCTTTATCTAATGGTAAATATGTTTCATTCATTACAATGAAAACCTTGGGAAGATGAGATGCTACCAGTTGCACGCGCAGTATACATTCAAATGGAACCATTTACAGCCGACCAGTTCGAGATTGGATAATAACGACAACAAAAGTATTTCATGTAAATTCTGTGTGACTGTGTATTGAACATCGAAACGCCCTGTTGCTAACCCATTCTTATTCTGGTTTTATAAAATCTCGTTCAATTCAGTGCAGCGTCCACGGAGTAACTGGCTAAGAATAACATAGCACACTGATTCTACTAAAATTTAACTCTTTGTTTTTATCTTATTCATTCCTTTCCAAAGTATGAAGACATAGTGTGATGCCTGTTCTAGGTCCCAGGTTGTCTACTATTGAGTGAAAAATAATTTCATTAAAATTATGAACCGATTTAAGTCAGAATATGATTAAAAATCTGGAAATGTTGGAGGGCTGTTACGTTTTAGTATGGGACATCTCAAAAGTGTGCATCCACGACTCAGCACACGGGAACCGAGTCCAGGATCTTCGATCTTGTTCAAGAACCCTTAACTGACGAGCTTAAGTTGTGCTAGATCATGTAGCAATATTAAGCAAGCTTGGAACAAAATGCTGCTTTCTCAAAATTTTTAGTAAAATATTTAAAACATCAACTGCGCCTGTAGCTCTTCTAGAGTTACTGCCGGTCCCAAGCCCGGGTAAAGGAGGAGGGTTGGGCATGGGGTTAGCGACCCCATCCCGTAGAAAACTAACTCGCTAAAAAAACGCTTATCAGAAAAAATAATTCAAACCATTCTAACTCTGCCCTGAAAGTTAGAAGGTCTTCATTTAGAAGAACTATGACGCTTCATGGTGAAAACCGAGTTCCTTCGGAAGCCAAGAGGCCGATGCCCCTTCTAACAACCAGAGCAACAATTTTTATAGGTACATGGAACGTCCGAACAATGTGGGAGACCGGGAAGACCAGTCAAATAGCAACGGAAATGGGGAAATACAACTTGGCAGTACTGGGAATCAGCGAAACCCATTAGACCCAAGCTGGACAACAAAGGCTAAATACGGGAGAGATGCTGCTATACTCACGTCACGAAGAGCAAGATGCTCCGCACACTCAGAGAGTTGCTCTAATGCTGTCCAAAGTAGCACGAAATGCACTTGTAGGATGGGAATCTCACGGATCCAGAATCATCAAAGCATCATTCAAAACAAAGAAGGAGGGGATCACAATGAATAATATCCAATGTTATGCACCCACCAACGATAGCAACGACGACATTAAAGATCAATTCTACGAGCGGCTGCAGTCAATCATAGAGAAATGCCCAAGAAACGACCTCACCATTCTAATGGGAGATCTAAACGCCAAAGTCGGAATAGACAACACCGGATATGAAGATATTATGGGACGACATGGACTGGGAGAGAGAAATGAAAACGGGGTAAGATTTGCAAATCTGTGTGCATTTAACAAATTGGTCATAGGGGGCACAATATTCCCACACGAACGTATACACAATGCTACATGGATCTCACCGGACCACACCACAGAGAACCAGATAGATCATATTTGCATCAATAAAAAATTCCGAAGGACAATGGAAGATGTGAGAACCAGGAGAGGGGCTGATATAGCTTCAGATCACCACCAATTTAAAACTGAAGCTAAACAAGAACTGGACAAACAGCACTACAAAGGTTCAATACAGCCTTCCTTCGAGATACTAACAAACTCAGTGAATTCAACATAGCTTTCAACAACAGGTTCCAAGCCTTACAAGATCTACTGAAGGAAGAAGAAACTACTATGGAGGACAACTGGAAAGGTATCAAAGAAGTATCAACTTCAACGTGTCAAGAGGTTCCGGGTCTAAAGAAGCACCATCATAAAGAATGGACCTCTACAGAAACACTGGACAAGATCAGAGAAAGGAAGAACAAGAAGACAGCAATTAACAACAGCCGAACACGAACAGAGAAAGTCCAAGCACAAGCTGAATACATAGAAGCAAACAAGCAAGTGAAGAAGAGCATTAGAGCCGCCAAGCGGAAATACATGGAAGAACTAGCAACGACTGCGGAAAAAGCTGCAAAAGGAAATATGAAACAGCTTTACGATATAACGAAGAAACTTGCAGGGAAGTTAGGCAGGGTTGCCCAATCTCACCATTCCTCTTCAACTTTGCCATCGATGACATTCTAGAAACAGCTCTGATGGATGTAAGTAATGGTGGTGTGGATCTGTTGCCTGGAGAAAGACTTCTCGACCTTGAGTATGCGGACGATATTGTCTTACTGTGCGATAATGCCCAAGGCATGCAATCAGCACTTAATCAGTTGCAATCAGTGTCCGTAAGTATGGTATGTGCTTTGCACCTTCGAAGTGCAAAGTACTTCTACAAGACTGGCAGGATTCCAATCCTGTACTCACCCTGGATGGTGAGCAGATAGACGTAGTCGAGAAGTTCGTGTATCTGGGTAGCTGCATAAGTGCTGGTGGGGGTGTGAGTGATGAGACCAATGCACGAACAGTGAAAGCCAGAGCGGCTTATGCCAATCTGGGCCACCTCTGGCGCCTTCGTGATGTTAGTCTGGCTGTAAAAGGCCGGATCTACAACGCGTCGGTGAGAGCAGTTTTGCTCTATGCTTGTGAAACCTGGCCTCTCCGAGTTGAGGACGTTAGACGACTCTCTGTGTTCGATCATCTCTGTCTCCGAAGGATTGCTGACATTCAGTGGCAACACCATGTTAGTAATGCAGAGGTTCGGCTTCGTGTGTTCGGGCACAGAGATGATAATTCAATTGGTGTCACCATCTTGAAACACCGACTTCGGTGGCTTGGACATGTTCTCCGAATGTCGTCCCAGAGAATTCCACGTCGTGCATTATTTGCCGACTCTGGGACTGGTTGGAAGAAGCGGAGAGGTGGTCAGTGCATGACATGGTGTCGTGGTATGAAAAAAAGCTGCAAAATACTGGCTTGTGTTGGTCCTTCACGACTCCCTGGTTGGGGTCCGAGAGATGGTGCTACACAGTGGCTAGAGACGTTATCAGATATGGCTCAGAACAGAAGCCAGTGGCGATCCTGCTGTAACCTTCTTTTACTTTCTTCATAAAAAACTGGTTGTGTCTCCCTTACCTGAAAGATTTCTTCCGATTGTAACTTTGTGTTCCGTCATTACTACCACACTACCTTACATCAATCTCTTCGTTATTGTTCTCTTTTTTTTCTATTGCTCTTCGAATTCTCATTGTTTTGTGTGGCGCATATATGTTGGCGCTCTCTTGTACCAATATTTATGTGTTCAAATAAATAATAATAAATAATATGGACAGCTCAGAACCAATTAGACGATTTGGACTTCGCAGATGACCTAGCCCTCCTATCGCATACACACGAACAAAATGCCCCCAAATGCCCTGGTACGGCCGAGAGTGGGGAGAGTCCGCTCTCCCTCTCCAAATTCTCTCACATGGCCACGCGTATACAGCCTCTCCCAAGGAAGTCCTACTGACTGCCTTCTCGTGGCGGGGGTGTTGTTTACGAAAATGAGAGGACGAAAATCGAATATCTGGCGCTTTAACCGGATTCCAAACCAATGGTGCACATGGGCTCCAGTATCCTGCGGGAACAAATGGCGTATGAACCTGCTTCGGTTTGGGCACCCGAGCAGTATCACAGCCCTCACACATATCGAATAACATTTGTGTGGCACAGATGTATTTGGTGCCTCCTTGTACTAATATCTATGTGTTAAAAATTAAATAAATAAATACCATCAGCAACGGCTTACTGTGGGAGAGAACAAACCATCTTCCATCTGAGGGAATTAGGAAAAGACGATGGAAATGGATAGGAAATACATTACGGGAATCACCAAAGTGCATCACGAGACAAGCACTAAGTTGGAGTACTGAAGTTAAGCGGAAAAGAGGAAGGCCAAAGAACACATTACGTCGGGAAATAGAAGCAGATATGAGAAGGATGAATAGGAACGGGAAAGAGTTGCCCAGGACGGGGTTGGATGGAGAATGCTGGCGGGCGGTCTTTGCTCCTTCACGAGGAATACCAGGAGTAATTAAGTAATTTAAAAAATCAAGTGCATTTTCCGTATACATTAATAGCCTATGATAATCAATTTTTAAGGCTGCTAAAGGCGAATCCCAGAGCAGTAGAAATATTAACAGTATTAGTAATTGCAATAATAATAATAATAAGTATAGGCGCATATATATTGGCGCTCTCTTGTACCAATATTCATGTGTTCAAATAAAATAAAATAATAAGAAGAAAAAGACATAGCGAGATTTTCGGACTTTGGATCAAAGAGAAGACAGATTGGATGAATTTATACTATAATGAACGGCTTTCAGACATATCGAGCAGAAACTCTATCCACTGGTTGCAATTATCGCACGGATCCCAACAAAGTATTCTGAACACAACAATATGACAGCACAACTATCAATAAATTCACGGAAATTTTTTGCCATTTTTCAGTTTGAATGACACTAACTTTCTTCAAACCGACTCTTAAGCCAGACAAAATTACCCATCGAGGTAGGTAGGCTGCAGTTAAGCATATGTAATACATTTTAAAATAATCTTACTCGATGAATATTTACTACCTCACTAACAATTTTTCATTTTTACCTGGTACCCTCTACATACACTTGGGCGTTGCTCAATCTATGGTATTAGTTTACGTGAGCAATCCCTTAAAGCAACTTATCAATTTCTTCCATTCTTCATGGTAATCTTTCACATCCATAAATTAACCTAAAGTTTCTAAACATCTATTTCAGAAAACATAGACTTGTAATTTCTGATGAAAAAAAACACAACAATTAAACCGAAACTGTACTCCGTCATTGTGTTATTAATGTTTCCTCTGTTAGCCAATGCTTTAGTGAGGACTTTTTACTTTATATATATATATATATATATATATATATATATATATATATGAAAGAATATAGATGAATACAGTCGGAAATATAAATAAACTAGTTATCTAATCAACATTTCAAATAATTGTGTAATAACTTACATTTTATGGAGATTACACCAAATACTTTCTGGGATAGATAAAGTTAGTGAATTACGCATCTCCCATAATTCTGGTCGAAAATAACCATGTTCACAGAAAAATTCTGATGTCATTGGACCTGGTTCAGCCCATGTCCAAAAGCGAACAACCCAAGGTTTGCTTACATAACACATTTTACCAGATGGTGGTAACTTTAAACAAGAATAATATAAAATTTTTACAGAAATGTATCAATTATAGAGAATTGTTGTAGTGATTTCTATTATTACTTAAAAAGGAGGATAAACGTTACATAGGCCGGAAAACCTTTGTGTCAATTGTAAAAAAAATGGTAATCACGATAGCTTTTGATCAAAAAGCAATTCCTTATATTCAGAAATATGTATATTAAGGAGGAAGAATGTATTTGTAACAACTCAGAGAATGATTCTGAAGTAAATCCAACGTTTCGGTCGGCAACATGGTCCAAGCTTTTTCAAGGAAATATAATCAGATATAATATTCTTATCGTATATAAAAAGTTTATATGTTCTTTTTAAAACTTCCACCGATCAGAGGCAGTAAATAGTGAATGAAATTTCTTCTCACACCTCAGATCCACTTACGAGTACAAACAATCTGTCATATTAACACACTTTGTATTACACCACCACATGTCTCATACACACTAAAGTAAATACCTACGTTAAAGATTGTTAACATGATTGGAAGACCGATTAAGTAAACAGTTAACCGAAGAACAACGTACCTAACTATATTCCATAATTCTGATGTTTGATTATATTTCCTTTAAAAAAACTTGGACCATATTGCCAACCGAAACGTTGGATTTACTTCAGAATCATTCTCTGAGATTTTACAAATACATTCCTCGGCGCCCAAATACTGTGAAACCATTAATTCAACTTTAGACGAAAGTTCTTATATATGTATATTAGTGTACTTTGCGTATATATATAGGAATTTTTGAGAGAAAAAAACAAATTTAATTAACTAATTTACAATACACAGACTAATGCACTCGATCTGTGTGGGTTAATTAAACTTCACCCAGCTAACTAAACAGAAATAGATGAGGCGGGAGTGTGATTTGATGTTTGAATTTCGAGTGTTTTGGTTATTATCAGGTCACGTTTAAAATTAGAATGTCACTTATACATTAAGGAAAGTTCAATGCCAAAATCAACAATTTAATATTTTTGACAACAAATGAACCGAAACAATAAAAAGCACGTATATACAGCTGGTGATTGAAAGAAAAAAGAGCTGACTGTCAGTTAGGCTATTTTAGGAGAGAATAAAAAGGCATGTTTCACAGCGTCTAAGAAGGATTTTATTGATTGTTTTCCATAGACATAAACAGTTCATCATTTGTGTGGGCTGTGATACTGCCCGGGTGCCCAAACCGAAGCAGGTGGTTATCTTAGGGGGCCACTCCCCGAGCCTTTGACCTAAAGGTCTAACCCACAAGGCAGTGGAGCATCGTAAGGAGATGCAGTCCCATGGTAGCCGGTGACCAACGACTGGTTCATACGCCATTCGTTCCCGCAGGATACTGGAGCCCATGTGCACCATTGGTTTGGAATCCGGTTAAAGCGCCGGACATTCGCTTCTCGTCCTCTCATTTTCGTAAACAACACCCCCGCCACGAGAAGGCAATGAGTAGGACTTCCCTGGCAGAGGCTATATACGCGTGGCCGTGTGAGAGTATTTCGAGAGGGAGAGCGGACTCTAATGTCCGTACTCAACCACTGAAAGTCAAGATTTCAACAGTCTTTCGCAATTCACGTACTAAATGATGGATGCAACGAAGTGGAATATGTAAGATTGAACTAGGACACATTTGCCTTAGGTCCACCATTGTCTACAAGCATTATTCACACTAAGTAACACCGTATTCAGTATAAATGATATTTATTACAAACTGAAGACATGATTTCTCTAGAAATCATTCCTATTTCATTGTACATTCTCAAACAAACGTGTCAACAATCAGAAACAAACGACAGAGTGACGAAACAATGAAACACTATAAACTAAATGCTAAAAAGATAACTTAATAAGTAGTAACGATATCATAAAATGATTCTTGTTGTTAGTCTAACCAATGGAAAGATCTGTTAAAGACACTAATAAATAAACAATCTATTATCGATTAAATTTAGATTGACTTTCTCTGCGATTCGGTACAATATGTTCACTTCAATCCATCTAAAATCATCTCATTGATTAATATGCCATATAGGGAAAAAATGTGGATATGCTATGATCTAATTTAACTTAACTAAATAACAGTTAATGCGCTCAACTTTCCGCCCATCTGTCCATTTGAGAGTGCCCAGTAACACTATTTGGCTGCTCTAAACTAAAGTTGATTAAACAAGATCCGAACATATGACCTAACGAGAAATTTAAACATAAATCACCGCCACACAAAACCATAAGGCAGTCCTACATTTAGTATTGAATTGTCGACTGCAATCACATTTAAGGTTTTCTGTTAATTAGGACATGTGTGAAAACAAACCTACATTGTGTAGTGTAGAACAAACAAATATCATAAACACAAAACACCTACTATTGACACGTACTTGCCAAGAATTACGTATTGGTTCCAAATGTGTGTCACGTTTTCTGAAAGAAAAAGGTAAATGTTTATTGGGAAATTTAATATAATCTTCCCATTAATAAATTCTAATAAGCTAAATCATAAATCCTACCAAGACCACCACTATAAACTAAGGAGCACTGAATAACTACTATGAGACTACTCAGAGGTACACATCTACGGCCCCACTACTACAGGGGACCGAACATAGGACCTTCGGCCTTGCTCACGGATGATGAACCTCTAGACCACTGAACAGGCATCCAATGGTTTACTTCAATCCACAACTATTTTCCACAGCCTGTGGTGGATAACTATCTCATACCCGACATATTTGAGAAATCATACTCGATGGACTTCAACAATGTTGGGTATATTACAGTTATTCACGACAGACAATCAAAAATGATTGCACAATATCGTGAAATGATTATAGTTAGATATGTACATCATTAGATCCAGGCTCATTGGTCTACAGATGATGTCCCAAGTGAAATGTAATAAATTCGAGACTTTTAGTATTGATTATTTTGGAAACTTCTGAAATGTCGACATTGGGCCAATTATCAAAAGGATAACAGGCAATCGTCGTTTGCCTTACTAATTTTTATCAATAGGATTTAGAGGATGTACACTGGTTTAAAATAATTATTACAATCGTTTCGAGGTGGTAATCTACGTTCGTTGTTCTTAATTTGTCCAAAAACAGTACAACAGCAAGAAAAAATAGCTCGATATAATTATGATGACGAACAACAAAAGTATTATTTTCTTTCAGTTCTTTAAGCACTCGATCATATACATAGTCAGTGCTGCAATTAACCTGTTTTCCCATCTAATCGATGTCAAAATCCACTGCACGAAACTCATTTCATCACATTATGTCATATGATTTGTATTGTTTATCATGTCTGCTTATGCGACCATATTCAACGGTTGATATTTAAATAAACAAACAACAGTAAGATATATATATATATATATATATATATATATATATATATATATAGAGAGAGAGAGAGAGAGAGAGAGAGAGGTATACCCTAACAAAGAATGAACGAAAATATACTACTTATAGATGTGATGGCAATGATGAAGACAACAGAAACAAAAGCAACAAACAAAACTATCTTCAAAATATTTTTTTTAAAACAACGAATAATTGATCGACCAATGTAATTAGTAAGGTTTGTAAAAAAAACGGAAAAAATGCCCAAATATTTTCACTTAGTAAATGTAGCCAAATATTTACCGAAGTACATGAAAACAAAGTAATAATTACCGTATTTTGAAGGCGAAAAAAAGAAAACCCTAACTAGAGAAATCAGACGTATGATGCTACAGTGAAACTGAAAACAAATCGTTTACAATTCTAAGTAAAAAGAACTGTCCAGTAATCTGGGTAAGTAATCATATGCAACAATTCAATGAAATATTAATTATGACTTGTTATTATGTTTACGTATGATTACCGTACGTTCATTTAAATACCGCTCCCCCACTATGTCCATTTCAGCTAACATGGATGGAGTGATAATCTAATAATAAGATACAGATTCGAACTCCGCCCTACTTAATTTAGTATGAGTAATCGATTAGTATTATTAACCCTCATATTTGCAGTACACCTTAAAGCTAAGTACAGAAATCTCTATCTGGAAAATTAGTTTGATATTTCATTCGAAAGGCAGTTGTACTATAAACTACAGTAGGTTCGAACCGATAAAATGATAGCTGGAATTGAAATGACTTGATTACTACCAAGACAATCAACTTATTAACGTTACGAAACAGCTTGAGTAATAATTAAATAGAGGCAAATAATGAAACTGTATGTAAGCGATTTCATTAAAAAAGGATGAGATACAAAAAACTAAATGTAAAAATAACAATAAAGCTTATTCAAAATGTATACATGTATCATATATTACAAAACACTAACTGATAATACAATATGATTTTCATCCTAAATTTTTAAAGAGATCAATACACAATATTATTTACCTATAAAACAGGATATATGCTGAACTTTTCAATGATTCCACTTGTTCGGCATCTAATTTTCGTACATGTTCATCATTGAATTCATACCAATGTTCCGTTGAGGAATTATACGCACATGTAGTGTAATGACCACCGCCGCAACCGCCATAGTGACAGATGACACCAATTAAATCATAGGTTGTAATCTAATACAGAAGTATCAATGAAAAGGCATTTATTTAATGCATTCGAAAGTAATGTGGAAGATTGTAACTAGGTAACAACACAGTTGGAATGTCTTATACATAATGATAGCACGATTGAATTAAGATGTTGAATGTATACACCATGCACACGTCATGTAACACCATGCACATTTTTCCCTAACGAATACTGTTCAATCAGAGCACTTTAACTTCGACAGAATCGATACCAAGAGTAAAGGTAAACAAAATAGAGATTTGAAGAAAGGGTTAAAATTTGGAGCACGGTGAACTGAAGCAAAACGCTTATAATATACAAGGTCAACTGAGAAAACCAATCGTTTAATAGCGTTTACGAAAGCCGACTGGTTATAAACTAACTAAATACAGTCAGGTAAATGAAAGCTTTGCAAAGATGTAACGTAGAACTAATCAAATGCGTTTCCGCAAGAATACCTTTGGTTTTACATCAATTCAGTTTCGTTGGTGTAAAAATTTGCTAAGATCTCAACTGTGGTGTCCGAAACTATGAACTAAGTCTTAACTCCCGTTACTATCTTTCGATTATTTATCATGGTTCATTAGAGAAACAAGATGTTTTCGAAACACACACACGTGAATGCGCTGAAAAAGTAATTTACATCCGGCGGTAAACAGCAAATATTGACACGATTAAAAACGTTATAAATTGTGGTAGTTGTATGATTGGACAGTATCTTAATATATTTACACAGATATGATCAACGCAGAACCTGACACAGTTGTGTTTTGGCTCAAGTTCCCATACTACCTTGGCACAAACAAATGAGTTTTAATCCATAGGATCGTGTGATGAGGAAAAGACTTCATTGAGAAACATTCTGATAAGAATGCTATTCAAGGATAAAATAGCCGTAGAATACCCGCAGTAAGATTACAACCCCTTGCTTTCATTTTAAATATCTTTTTTATATATGTAAATTGGTTTCGTAGATAATTACAAAGCTTCGTTAGCATATTTCAACAAAGTTGAAATAAGTTGAAAAATTATTCAGGATGTTAATAATAAGTGACTTTTTCCAATAATTAAAATTTAACTTTTAAACATTCATACTAGAACAGTTTTTCTTTTTAGTAATGTAGCTTAATTTTGTTGACAAAAATTGTTTTAACGATTAATAATGGAAGAAAATTTAAAGTTTTCCTATAAACAGAACTTTGACCTAGAAAATTAAACAAACCTGTTTCGTCAACCGATCAAAAATGTAACCATTTCGTTTTTTTTAAACAAACATTTTAAATTGACATGAAAATATATATCAGAGGAAGGTAGAGAGGAAAAAAGGAAATAATCTTTACTTTATCGGTACAATCACGATGAAGGTATGGTGAAAGATCTAAATTCTTTAACGGGAAATTCACTGGAGATGATAATTTCGAAGAATATAAATGATTACTACTGAATCTTTTCAAGTGAAGTGTAAGAATTTCCGGCAACGCGACAAGTCTGAACTGTTTCAAACCATTACACCGTCTATGTAAAGAAGTGTTTTGAAAAAAAGAGTAAATTTATTGCAACCTGAACAATTAATTGATTGAATGACGTAAAAGTAAAAATAATTAGAAAAAAAGATAGTGAAAGCTATACGTCGTCCACCTTAGATAGAAAAACTTGGGGGAAAGTGGTTAAACACACACACACAATGTACGGCATAAACAAACACCTGCAACAATGAGAAACCATGTAATGAAATATTTAATGTGCTCAACAATAAATCATTATGAACGGAAAGTTAGGTGAAGATAATAGCATGTTCACTGTTTTAGTCGTAAACAGTAGTTGTAAACATTTCTTAGTAACCTTGATGAATACATACATAAAGCGCTAAGAATCAGACTAAAAGAATCCACTAATCTTGTCAACATAAAATTAATAGGAATTTAAAAGACTCTTTTGAGTCAAATATGAAAGATGGGAAAAAAGCAGTTGAACCAAGACTGTTGATTTAAACTGTTAGTAGATGTACACTTTGTAGTGTTTGTGAGTTAACGCTGGTCAACGGTTGAAGACCTCGTGTTTACAACGCTGGAAATAGGTTACAATGGTGCAGACGCATTCATTCTTTGTCTCCTTCTAGGTCTTTAGTTTCAATGATGTTTCATACTTTCTATTAAGCTAATACAGTTTTTTGGAACCATATTTCCTACATTTAGAATATTTTTAATTGTTTGACACTACTGTTATTTCAACTTCACTATTCACCAAGTTTATTTATTTATTTAAGCACATAAACATTGGTACAAGGAGGAACCAAGCATATATGCCCTACACTTTGTTATTCGATTTGCGCGAAGATTGGAATATTTCATGCAATTAGTTCCCTTTATGAATTTAAATAAAGCAAGAACAAATATTGGAAAATTGCTTGGGAGCCCAAAGCGAAGCAGGCCACTAAGTTTATTTTCCCTCAGTTTGCCTGTGTAGCATGGTAAGTGGGTCTCTTACATTATTTGCCCCAGGTCATACGTTGATTTTAGCTGATTGATGAGAGTTCAGTTCTTTCTAGTACACTGAAACAGAAAAGTTTCATGTTTGATTAATAGAAAATATATAGGTTATTTGGTCCACAAATGATGGGACAAGAAATATCGACCAACTTCATTTCGCATCATTTATATTATAGAGATAATATTTGGTTTTCATGTCTGTATCAGCACACTCTCTTTTCCAGGCAATTGATAATCGGAAAAACTAGTGATTAGATAGGGTGCTACAAAAGCGAGATTATGCAACCAGCAAAATGAGGGTTCAGTTTAAAAAATAACAAATTCCAGGCAGTGTATATGGCTGATCCTTACCACTCTTAAGCTACCGGTCGAATTTGTCTGACATTTTCGAATTGCTGAGTAGTGTAGTTCACAACTTAACTCTTTCTTTAACGAATGAATATGTAAACGTCCAAGTAAAAACAAAACGCCAGCACAAAACTTACCGATTACATCTTCCACAAAAGTATCCATTTTCACCAACTAATTCCGCTTCAGAAAAATAATGAGATAAGCAATCTTCAAGGGTAAGAGTAGACCATTTATCTATCCATTGTTTAGGTCTGTTATATAAACAAAAATATAAAACAAGAAATAGAAAAATTATGAGTATAGTTTTTTGTGGAGATTGTTGAGTTTGAATTGCTATCATGAACCGATCAACGTTAGACCACCATTGAAAACCTGGAAGCACTGAACGACGGTTTCGTCCCGGTGTGGGACTCCTCAGGGACGCGCATCAACGATACCGCACACGGAGCTCGATACCAAGAACCTTAGGTCAGAAATTATAAGTTAGATTATTGGAAATTTCCAAATGATATGTATACACGCAAGGTTCTGTGATTACTGTAACATGGTATTTTGATTCTATTGATCCACATTTTCTTCGTACATCGTACCTTCTACTGTCATTTCTTTGATATGAACACCAGTAATATGAAATTTGCTCTGACAATTCCACCAGGCTGTGCTAATTGACCGTGACAATGTGAACCGATACCAGATTCTACGTTGTATATGACTGGCTGACTTGTGAGTTAGATTGCACTATCTACACTGATCATCAAACAACATGCATCTCTATACTAATGAATTTGTAAATATTGTTTGATGAAACAAGATTTAGAACAATGTCTAGGTTTAAATTGCTCAGATAAAACCCCATGTTGTACATCAGAGATAACTATATAAATAAAAACAAAAATTCTATACTATGGTCATCGTTATTTCGTTGGTTCTTTCTTCGTTCCCTATTAAATTTACTATCATTCCCACTATCTTCACTTATCTATTTCTATTTGCCATTGACTTACTCCTATTGTTTTGATAGAAAATAAATTAATTTAAACGTATATATATATTAATAATGTAAACTAGTACAAATAATTTACACCAGAACTTACGAGGGCAAAAAGCTTTGTACATAGGATAAAAATATATGAGTTAGGGTTAAAAGCATAGTGAGTAACCAAGGAATACCCGTTACCAGACGACCAACAACTGTTGGTAATGTGAATAACGATGATTTTATTTTTGATCCACGTGGTGTAGAATACCTTCTACTTGTTGACTTCGATGGTTGTGTCTGTTGCAAATCATTAGATGTTTTCAAATATACAGGACCATTTTTCAATAAAGAACCTGTGCTTACTGAACCATTCATCAAGGAGGATTTTGTTGATTGATCAACAGAAGAGGATGAATACGTTTGTACAGTAGGTTTGGTAAGGGAAAGGGACAAGTCCATAAATGATTCCTCCCGATTGGAAAGCTATATGGAAGTAACAATCATATATATACAAAAAATTCACTAGAAATTTACTGTAAATGTGGATGTTAGTGAACACTTCATCAAATAAATGGAAGCACTGTTACATAAAATATATGAATTAAATTTGTGAGAACGGAGATAATGAAGACTCGTAAAACACCTTTTAAATCATCCGGAGCTAAGCCAGAAAAATCTAAAAATTTCAGAATCTATCACAAGGACATACATCTTCACACATAAAGTGATTAAATGCAGTCGATAAAAAACCCAAAACTTAGATTTAGTGCTATCCGGCACCTGTTAGTAGGGCATACTTGTAATCTCAAGATAACTAATATTCTGACCGATTCAATTCTGACACCCAAATGCAATCAGAGACGTTACCACTAAGCTATTCGAGACGCGACTGACCTCCTGTAGGATAGAGATGTATTAACCATTGACCGATTACTGGGTAGTCGTCAATGTCATGTACGTCTTTTGTAATGTTGACCGAATTTAGTCGATTAAATTCACTAAGAAGGACTTGGCATACACAATAATCACTACTCAGTGATCAGTTAATTATCAACACGTACATTTGATTTTTCAAAAAGGAGAAAAGTGGACAAGAGAATTACAGAACGACCAGAAATCCTTTATTTTTTTCAGACGAAACATCGCATTTAATAAACACCAGAGAGAAATCATAGTACGCTATATTTATCGAGGTAAATTGAAATTGCTGTATGAAATTCTTGAAGACTGAGAAAAATTTACAAATGTTTAAATAATCTAAATATACAGGTCTTAGATTCATTTTTATTCTGTTTATATGTATGGTACTAGCAAAAATAAGTAATATATTTCATTAATAAATTTTAACAGAATTTAAATCAGCAAGGACATATTTAAATTAATGGGCTTCAATGAAATTAATTTTGAATGAATAAAATTTACATTCATAGCCTTCTCCAAACTGTATGTGACACACACTCTATAGACTGAACAACAAAGTACCTATTATCGTGAATATTTGTGTACTGTGAATTCAAAAAAAGAAAACGAATGAACGAGACTGGATAGCTAGCTTTATAAATTGATATCATGAAAAACACTTTTTTTCGTCAAAGTGACTTTACTTATTTTATGATATAACGGGTTTCCTTGGTTTTTTTCAGATTCATTTAACTTAAAAGTTCGTATTAAACTGCAGACAACAAAGGACTGAACAGTTATTTCTAATTAGTATGGGACTTTTCAGCAGTGGCATTCACAATACCAAACTATTCTTGGCCCAAGACAGAAATTATCTTCAAAATTAAACAACTTTTCACACTGGGTAAACAAAAAATTCATTTCGCAAGTTGAAGGATTTGAATATAATTTTCAAAAGACAGCAACTTCCATTGGTCACAGTCAGTCATAATTAATGTAGAGCCGACAACCAATTACCTTAGCCCACGTCGATATTACCATATTAAACCAGAGATAAGATTAAAAACATGAATAATAAAGTTTTAAAAAAGTGCAGTACCAATGATAACGATGAAGACTAAACCTTACAAATATGATCCGAAAAGGTATTTATGAGGGAAAACTAGGACTCGAGAACTGTAGGAGGACGAAGAGTGAAAGCATTTGCGCCATTGTGACTGATTCTAAGCCATAGCACTCAACGTCTGCAACCATTAAACACGGTCACCACGTGGATCTTAATCAGGTGGTCCGCATCCACAAACATGGTTTAGACCAACAGTCAGCGACTTCATAAACTGATCCTAGGTTTTGGTATGGCCACCTCTAGATTTCTTTTGACATACTCCAACATTAACTAACACAGCTCACCGAGGTAAGGGGCAGTTATCCATACGGAATGTATGACCCATAACCTCACCAACCAATTTATCATATATACCCATTACTCTAATGTCTAGCCATAGTATTGCTTACTTGGTCGTTCCACGAAACCCAAGAAATGCTTCGAAGACATTTGAAGCCTACATATCTCTTCTACTTCTATGAAACATGTGTCACGGAGATATAGTAACACAGAACGAACTGTTGTGCAGTATACTCCCCTTTTGTTTGACAAACGGACATCTCACCTACCCCATAAGTGACTCAAAGTTAACAGAAGCCGAGAGTTTTCTAAATGTGTCTGCATTTATTTAGACATCAAAAACAGAAACTTTAATAATTCTAAATTTCATAAGATCATTTGAAACATTAACAAACTAAACATCATAACTGGGGATGAAAGGAAATATTTTTCAAGATTTCTGTAACAACGAATAAGTAACTAACCCGACTGCATGACAGGCAACGGACAGAACTAACTAATCTGCCCTGAAAGACATCGGTAATTATACTGTTGTTACTGTTGTCCGATGAACCAGTAGTAGTTGTTTGTTTGATGCCTACATAAAATATAAAGAGGAAGATTCGCATTTAGAGATAGCAAAATTTGAAAAGGGACTTTTATGTTTCGGACCAACAATCACTTCCCAGAGTGGATTAACATAAATAATTGACGGTTAAACTTGACTAGAACATCACCATACTTATTGTAAGCCAACAATCTTTGTCCTTACATCAGGGCCCCCTTTGATTCGTTGGACAGGACTATTCTTCGGGATTGTTTATTGGAGAATAAAGTGCCTGAGAAGTTTATTAACATTTTGAAAGTCCTAAATGCAAACACATCAAGCAGAGAGTGAGGGTGTACAACACCTTACCTCCATTGTTCCGTTCAAGCAGAGGTAGCCAATCTTATCATTCCACTCCAATTTCGCTATCGACTACGTCCTGGAAACAGCTCAATGGAAGTAGGTAGTAGCGGTGTGAGTCTGCTACCTGGAAAAAGACTCTTCGACCTTGAGTATGCGGATGATACGTTCTTACTGTGAAAAGATATCCAAGCCATAAAATCTGCAATCAGTATCCGCAGGCATGGCATATGCTTTGCGTCTTCTAAGTTTAAAGTACTTTTATAAGACTGGCAAGAGCCTGTGCCTATACTCACTCTTAGTAGTGAACCGTCAGAAGTAATGCGAAAGTTCGTGCATTTAGGTAGCTATGCAAGTGCTGGTGTGATTCATGAGATAAATGTACGTACAGCAGAAACCAGAGAAGCTTATGACAATCTACGTCATCTTCGGAGCCTATGTTGTTAGCCTGGATGTAAAGGGTTGGATTGACAATGCGTCGGTGACAGCAGTTTTGCGTTATGCTTATGAAACCTGACCTCATCAAGTTGAGGATGTTAGGCAACTCTGTGTTCGACTATCGTTGTCCCCCAGGGATTTCTGACATCTAGTGACAACATTTTTTCAATCTAAATGTCTAGTTATATATAGTGATGATAACTCAGTTATTGTCACCATCTAGAAACACCGACTTCGGTGACTTGGACATGTGCTACAAATGTCGTCCCAGCGAATCCATAATTTGTTGACGATAGGGCCGATCGGAAGAAGCGGAGAGGTGATCAGTTTATGATATGGTGTCGTGGTATGGGAAAAATCTGGACAGAACTGGCATCTATCAGTCCTTCACGACTCTCTGGCTCAGGTCCTAGAGATGGTCCGACACTGGCCTGAGACAATAACAGACAGCTGAGAATAAAAGTCAGTAGCTGTCCTGTTATCTTTTTTGAAATTCTACAGGTAAGAATTTTTTACTAAAAGAAACATTTCCGGTTGTATTTTTGTTAACTGGACTGCTTCATTCATTATTTTTCTGTCTCATTCACACATTACTTTTGTTATAATCACCTCCCGTTCTCTATCTCTTTAAATACTCATTCTCTCATTGTGTAACGCATAAATATTTTGGTGCCCCTTTGAACCAATATTTATGTGTTTAAATAAGTAAATAAACTATTGAAAATTAATGTTCCTACACTAAAGGTCTGATTAACCAGTTTATGTGGAGTAATTATAACCTTTTAGTAATGATACAAAGTACCTGTGTAAATTTATTTCTGATATAATTCAACCACTATTTGTGAAAGTGAACACAAATTTTTGTCTATAGTTGTCTTGTTTTCATAGAACAAAGGATAACCTAAAAATTATTCAAAACCTGTGTAAATTTGTCACAGCCCATTATAATTTCAATCATGGGCTTTCGAATGAGCTTGTGTTTAGCCTAATAAGACATTCATGTAGTTTTAACCTGTTAATACAGGTATAATTATTCTGGCAAACTAATACCCTCTACAATTTATTCACCTATTATAAGTTTCTTTTTTAGGATTTGATTTACAAGTGGTGTAAATGCACTGAATGATAATCAGCTCCTCAGGTCGAAATGGAGGCTTGAATACATAAAGCGAAAACCTAATATATCGTTCCTATGAGAAACTCAGAGGTTATGACAATTGTCAGATTAAACCAGTGGATCAAATAGAACTTAGAAAATGAAGCTGAACTACTTAAAAACAAAGCAAACACAGAGCAGTGTAAACTGAGGTCAATATTTAGCTAATAGAGTAAGACTCACATATTCTGACCTACTATTAATGACAGGCAAAAACATTAAAGTTACAATCTATTTCTTTGGTCTGATAGTACCTTTTTTGTCTGAGTTTGAAAGCCATGAGTGTTTCAGTTCCTCGTGCAGCTGGACTAAAAATAGTCTCAAAAACTCTTGAGCATCTTGTTGTGCATAACCTCTGAACATTGGGTGCACAATGCAGAAAGTATCTAAAATTGTATTTGCATTGAAACAGCGTGGTCTAAATGAGGAAAGGTAAAAGAAAAACAGATCAACAGTGCGAATTACATGGTACTACGTATGAGATTCAAATTAATTGAAACTAAAGGAGAAAATCAACCAGAACAGCTTTCTGTAAACCGTCATTTGTTATTTAAGAAAAACGGATGGACCACAATCTTATTTTAGTAAAGTCACGTGTACCAACATTTAGAATCTATGAATCACATTTCCACCGCAAAAGTTAAAGCAAAATCCGCAAAATTGTTAACCGGATTCAGAAATATATATTACGGTGACTAAGTATAAAACATACTTACTTACTTACTTCCGCCTGTTACCCCCAATGGAGCGTAGGCCGCTGACCAGCATTCTCCAACTCACTCTGTCCTGGGCCTTCTCTCTAGTTCCATCCAATTCTTGTTCATTTTTCTCATGTCTATCTCCATTTCCCGGCGTAATGTGTTCTTTGGTCTTCCTCTTTTCCTTTGCATAGCCTTGAGGATTCCATGTGAGGGCTTGTCTTGTGACGCAGTTGGGTGCTTTCCTCAATGTGTGTCCTATCCACTTCCAGCGCTTCTTCCTGATTTCTTCCTCCGATGGAATCTGGTTTGTTCTCTCCCACAGTACGTTGTTGCTAATAGTGTCCGACCAACGGATCCGAAGTATTTTGCGTAGACAACTATTAATAAACACCTGTATTTTCTGGATGATGGCTTTCGTAGTTCTCCTAGTTTCCGCTCCATGCAGTAGAACTGTTTTGACATTTGTATTGAAAATCCTGATCTTGGTGTTGGTTGACAGTTGCTTTGAGTTCCAGATGTTCCTCAGTTGTAAATATGCTGCTCTTGCTTTGCCGATCCGCGCCTTCACATCTGCATCAGATTCACCCTGTTCATCAATGATGCTGCCCAAATACGTAAAGGTTTTTACATCTTCCAAATCTTCTCCGTCAATTGTGATTGGATTGGTGCATTCTGTGTTGTATCGGAGAATCCTGCTCTTCCCTTTGTGTATATTGAGACCTACTGCTGCTGAGGCTGCTGCCACACTGTTCGTCTTCTCCTGCATCTGTTGTTGCGTTTGGGATAGAAGGGCCAGATCATCTGCGAAGTCTAGATCATCCAACTGCATCTTAGATGTCCATTGTGTCCCGCGCTTCCCTTCAGACGTTGACGTCTTCATGATTCAGTCGATCACCAGGAGAAAGAGAAAGGGTGAGAGTAAGCAACCTTGCCTAACACCGGTCTTCACTTCGAACGACTTTGTCAACTGTCCTCCATGCACAATTTTGCAGTGTAATCCATCATATGAGTTTTAAGTATAAAACATACTTCCGTATATTTATTGAGAATTTTGTCATTAATTTCCAAGCATAAAAGTGCATTGATTCAAGCTATCACACTCGACATTAATACGCAGGAATTAAAGAAGCTGCAGTAATAGTAGTACCAATGATAGTAGGAAACTAGGCAAAGAGATGTAGGTCGAGAAAAACAAGTGACGTCACAGAAAAATGATGAACTAGAAATTTCAGGGATTTTCCTTTTTCTTAAACACAACCTAGTTGTACTCTATAGGTTACTAGGATTCCAGAAATTGTTTTCGAAGTAATTCATTAGAATTAACGTCACTAAGATAGGTTCGTGGTGAAGGTTCAGTTTGAGGATAATTTACACCACTGACCACATTTACACAATCTGAGAAAACATGGAGTCACCAGAGATCTTTATCCTAGTTTTAAACTACTTAACAGGGTTTGAAAAAGTGAAAGGTCAAGATGGGAAGTTAAAAAGTGGTAAGAATTGATACATTACTAAGGATGCCAACTTTTCACAACAAAAGGTCAAAAAAGATCAGCTCTACAAATTCCAAACCTCACATTTCTACATAGATTTTCAAAGACGTTATAGTCTGAGAACTATAGAGCATTAAATAGTACATTAAATATTACTTACAGAAATACCGTAAGTGATCAACAACAAACAACAGTCCCATGGACCAAACGGTTAAGCTCCTAGGTCAAGAAATTACAGCTAACTTATCTAGTTTCTCATGTGCTTCAAAAAATATCTTTTTAGAGCACGGAACCAAGAACTGAAAATGTCTCAAATTTTTAAACGCACTTAAGATTATCACGTTCGCAAATGAATTTTTTACCTCTTAATATCTATACTATCGACATTTTTCTGTAGCTTCATATTTTTACGCATGTATGGTAAGTTTTGACATTTCGGGTTTATAAAACGTTATTCTTTGCTCTCTGAAACTGTGCTTACAACAATATGTAGGAGCTTCTGTTGTTCCAAAGGTGAATTACATAGAACAACAAGCTTTATTAACTATTTGAACATTGGAGAACTTAAAAATGGAGCAAGTTTGAAACCACGGAAAACACTAAGATCAAATGGATTGATAACGCAGGTGTTAAACGGTGACAGTTCAGTTTCTAACCTGAATCCATGAACATTTGTCTTAGGTCTTATGACTGATATCAAGATAGGTGAGATCGCTAATTGATAGATGGCCGTGGTGGTATAAAGTAGCCGAGCAATTGCTGTTTACTAAACCGTATTATTAACTTAAAGTCTCGAAAGATTAGAAATCAAAGACAAGACCGCTAGTTAGATGAATAAGTTTGTCATAAGAAGTAATACGCTTATGCACAGAATATAAACACAAAAATACGCAATGAAAAATAACAGAAAACTAGCTTGGATGCCATTTGTTATTCAATCATGATCTGACCGTTGAGCCTAATCTCGGGCACTATCAGTGTATAAGACTTAATGATAATATTACTTAATAGTGGAGTATTGAACTTAAAGTTTAGTTAGCCAGGACCCAGCTTGAGTATTCATATATTACTACTGCTCCTCACGCGAAGTATGGCTGAGAACCTGATATTTAAACTTGCAAATGACTGAGTTATATCATTATTGCGTCGCTTGTTTGGAATAGCAGTATCGTGGCAACCAACAGAATTACTGAACAAAGTTTTGTGTCGATAAACATTCGTAGTGCCAAAAGACATGATGACGGAACGAAAAGTCCACACGATAATCTGAATTAGCAGTTGGTATCATAAGTGGGAAAGTCAAAAATAAATTATTTTACCTATCTCGACAAATACCAAGTGAGTTGTTTCTCGTTTTATTTCTATTCGAACGATGTCCTAAATCCTTGATTTTAAACTGTCAATGAAACGACTATAATTTCACCTCCTGATTCTTATCATCATTCCTCTTCCTGTGCAGATGACGTATTGCCATAGACAAAATGCGGAGCATCGTTGCGGAACAACTAGTGACAATTTCGCTCTAAACTTCCAAGTATACCCCGGTCCATACTCGCTAATGTTGTAAGATCAAAAAGGAAGGCATTTTCACAAGCCTGTTACTTGCCATATTTGACATGTAAAATCTAACTGACTAACTCGCGTTTTCAAGTATGTTAAGGGAGAACTGTGACACCATACTGCTGGGGTCAGACATAATAACAGTGAAATGGGAATCAAGGCAGAAGTACACACAAACTTATAAAAGCTGCGTTACCAAGGTCTGACAGACATGCATTTTGTCTAAACATTAAATCTAATTACCTTTCATTTCCCCAAAATTCAGAAAGTAGTGTGCAATAATGATTAAACAACACAAGCCTTCGATTTGGATCAAGGATGTTATGACACTCGAGGAAAAATTCCGTTAAATGTGGACTGCAAAACTGAAAAGAATCACTGAAAGTTACCAATTTGATAAGGCTTGTAAAGCGGCATTCATGTAACAAGTGTTGCCTATATTACGAAGCCCACCAAGCCCAAAAGAAACCAACTGATCCGAACTTATTATAGTATCCCCAAACTCCTCATTCATATTTACAAACATTATTATAACACATGACGCCAGCAGCCAATATGTACAACCCGCGCCAAGGTGACAAGAACCAAAGTACAATTACAGACATCATATTCCGACATTTATATTAAGGACAGAAGACCTACGGCCCGTGTTAGTCATTTTCTAGTAGGCCTCTAAGAGTGAACAATCTTCTCATGAATAAAACAACTGAAGCAGTGGACACCTTTGAGTTTTGTCTATCTGGTAGTTTCAGTTTCAGTTTGGAAAGGACTGGAGACTAAATGGCCTGTATTAGTCATTGCAGTGGTGGTCTCTTAGTTGATCCAACTTTCTTTTGAAAGATTCGACGCAGGAGCCTCAATCACGTGCTGAGGTTATGAATTCCACTCGTTGATGATTCGATAGTCAGCTGACTTGGCTTGTGAACTTTGGAGTGTCCTCGTAAATTCTGTTTTGGAAGAAAAGGAAAATGAGGGCATATCAGGTGCAAATTTAGCACCAAGCAGTTTGAAAACTGTAATCAAGTCGCCTCTAGTTCTGCGATATGACAACGGGAAAAGGTTCAGCTTGGCCAGTCGAGCTTCATATGGAAGCTTCGCTATTCTTGGAATAAGCTTAGTTGCCGTTCTCGGAACCTTTTCCAGAGGCCCACTGTCTTTTTTTAAGCAGGGACTGGCCGCTTGTATGCAGTACTCAAGTTTAGGACGAACGAACACTGTATACAAAGTCCATAACGTCTTAGCGTCGACATGACTAAAAGCTCTACGTATCGACCATAACGTTCTAAAACCTTTAGCGGCTATTGCACGGTAGTGTGCAGTAGTCTTTAGGTCTTGGCTAACGATAACTCCTAAGTCATTATGTGTCTGGACGACAGGTAGCTCAGTGTTATTCATCGTGTATGTATCTGTACCTTGATGACCGATATGCATCACAACACACTTGGAAGTATTTATCGGCAACTGCCAGGTTTGAGACCACGCAGATAATTTCTTCAAGTCATTTTGGAGTTCTAAGCTGTCATCCTTGCATCGTATCGTTCTCCATATCTTGACATCGTCAGCATATAGCAAGACCGATGATGATAGGAGACGAGGAAGGTCATTTACATACAAGAGGAATAGCGCTGGCCCCAAAACTGTGCCCTAGGGCACTCCACTAAGCACAGTTTCTCAGCTAGACAACTTTGAGTTCACCCTTACTCTTTGTTGACGCCCAAATAAGAAGTCTTTTATCCACATCAATAAATTGCCTCCAATCCCTACATTTCTTAACTTATATAACAGCTGGTTGTGCGGAACCTTGTCAAAAGCTTTGCTGAAATCAATGAAGGCGACGTCTACAGGTAGCTTTTGGTCCTTAAGAGCGCACCAGACAAGGATAACCTATTCTGAAACCGTGCTGCTTCTCCGAAAGGATCTGGTTTTTATCCAGATACTTAAACAGCCCCTTCCGAATAGACTTTTCTAAGTTTTTAACAACCACACTAGTTAAGCTAACGGGGCGATAGTTCTCAGGTTTGTGTTTCGTACCTGTTTTGAATAAAGGACTTACTATGGCGTTTTTCCAGTCTTTGGGTAAACGACCCTGCGTTACGGATAGGTTAAACCATATACTTAAAGGGTTCACAACGAAGTTAGATAATTCCTTCAGTAGCCTAGGATGCAATTCATCGGGCCCCGTGGATTTACCTATGTCAAGCTTATTTAGTAGACCAAAGACATCGAGTTCTTTAATGGTCACGCTCTCTAGTGTATGTGTGGGGGATCTGTATGCGCTGATGGGAAGGGTGTTTCTATGGTGTATACATTGCTAAAGTAGTTTGAGAACACTTGAGCCTTACCAAAGTCATCCTCCACTAGTGACGCGGCAGTACTGTCTCCCCATAGAGCAGGAATATTTCCTCTTCCATTTGTCCCTTGGTTTATATAAGAATACAGGCGTTTAGGACATTCTATTGATTCCTTAACAATCTTTTCTTCGTACAACTTTTTAGACTTACGGAGGGTCGAGGCACTGGTATTCCGGACTTTTCTATGCCGGGATTTAGTTTCATCAGTCCCCAAGAACCTAAATATATCCCACATTTTTCTTCTCTTACGAAGAAGGATGCGGACCTCCCTACTGAACCATGGTGCGGAGTTTCTCGGCCCCCTTGGTATAGTCCAAGGGATGTGGTAACTTTTAAGTACGAATTTCGAAATGCATCCCAGGCCGTTTCAACTGAGGACTCTGGGTCTATTGTCCAATCTATTAACGATGCTGGGTGCATGATATCTGGTATATTTACTTTCCAGACGTTAGGTCTGGATTGCGCTAACACGTGCTCGTGATTGACAGTTATATGAAAGTCGAAAATTAAAACTGCGTGATCACTTTTACCTAGGGGTGGCATATAATGAAGGTTCGCAACGTCATCCACATAGTGAGTGAATATTAGATCTAGTAGGGATGATTCAGTGTCCGGGTTGTACCTAGTCGCTCCGTTCACATGTTGCACTAGAGCACATGTGATAACCGCACCAACTAGTTCCTGCTCGAAGGGACTTTCTGACGATTCAGCTCGCAGATTTTCCCAGTCTACCATAGGTGCATTAAAGTCCTCTAGGATTAGACATCGACCACTTTGTGACCAAGCATTGAGACTGTTTAGCAGGACTTCATTTACCTCACAGCTTGGACTGCGATAGACCAAACCAATCAGCAGCTCTTGTCCCTTGCATTTCAGGCGGCAACTAACTAATTCACATGTCCCACTCTCATGGGATACACTGTCGATAATGGCAGATGGGATAGCATTCCTAAAGAATAGAGCTACTCCCCCTTCTTTACGCTTTTGTATTCTGTCGCCCCCCCTTACTAACGTAAAACCCTCGAAATCAAGTTCCATACTATCTATAGCCTGTGTCAGTCAGGTTTCTGTGACTGCGACTATGTCTGGCTTTGTAGAGTCAATCTATATACATTGTTCCGACCGCTTATTGAGCAATTTTCAGGCATGTGTGTAACAGATTCGAAGCCTACTTAAATGGCTTCGTGTTGCATCCAGAGTAGCTTCGACATCATTCTCTGTCGAAGCCTCACAACCCGGAAATTTACATTTCCCAGGTCCTTTTCGTCAACGTCTAACCTAATTTGTAGTTATTTTTCGGCTTCCCGTTTTTTTACACGGTCTGCCAACGGTAAGTCCTTACGGATAAAAGCTCCTGAACCCTTTAATTTATGTCCATTCTGTATAATTAAACCGCGTTCATTCGAAGATTTGAATACTACTTTAAGCAGTCTGGATTGATTAGGCTTCAAATTTGCTAGACTATCTAGTCTGTACACCTTTAGCAAGGTGACCCCGAGTGATATTTTGAGCCATGAGTTAATTAAGCAGCTGCTTAATCAGCACAGTGTCATGCTCAAAACGAGCTTTTGGTTCAGAGCTCTCGCTCTCCTTGATTCTATGAAGAATAGCTGATCTGTCGCTATGATCAGCTTTCGATTTTACGACTACTTTCGCGGGGGTGGGATTACCTTTTATATTGCTACTTTTTTCTTCCTTACAGCCTGTACCCACTCGTCAACTGTGCTGGGAGAAGCAACAAATTGCGTCAAACCTAGTGTTCGATTCTGGAGGGTTGTCGACGACCTGGGAGGTCAGGTTATGTTTACCGCTTGGAACCGATCGAGCCTTGCGATTGCGGCTTCTGGGCGTTTCCTGTGGGATCCCATCTGGGAGACGGGGAACAGAAGAACCTACTTTCCTTGAGCCTTTTTTTAAGACAGGCCTCTTTGGAGGCTACTTTTTCTTCTTTGACGGGGGTGAGTAATCTACTATCGAACTAACCTTAGTTTGCTTTATGTCGATTTGTGTGTCGACAGATCGAATGCTGTTTGACGTGTTCCGACTACGCTTGCTAAAACACTTCTTTGCAGCATCAACCAGTGAGATTGCCTCGGTTAACAAGCGATTTGCTCTGGGCTTGTGAACTTTTTTGGAGTGTCCCCGCAAATTCTCTGTCTTGTAAAGCAAGGAAAATGAGGGCATATCAGGTGCAAATTTATAACTAAGCAATTTGAAAACTGTGATAAAGTCGCCTTTAGTTCTACGATATGACAACGGGAAAAGTTTTAGCTTGGCCGATCAAGCATCAACGGAAGCTTCGCGATTCCGAAAATCATCTTATTTACTGCTCTCTGAACATTTTTCAGAGGCTCACAGTCTTTTTTAAGCAGGGGCTAGCCGCTTGTACGTAGCACTCAAGTTTAGGACGTACGAACACTGTATACAAAGTCAAAAAAGAGGGGATATATCAGGTCCAAAACTATTCCTTAGTATTCTATACATCAAAATCAGATCACCTCGCAACCTGAGGTAGGACAGAGTAAGGAAGTCTAACTTCGTAGCCCTCTCTTTGCATGGTAAACTTTAGAATTCTGGAATTGCGTCTTTCTGTGCTTTTTCCAGGATACCCGGGTCACATTTTGAGCAGCAGCTTGCAGTCTTAACAAAGGTTTCGAGTTCGGATCTCACTAGGGTTGTGTTTACTGTGGGATATATTAGTTTCGTGTATTATCTTTTTTCTCTCGGGAATTGTGTTGATCCTGTTTTCTGTCATACTCTAATGTTTTATATTAAATCTTTTGATATTTCGTTTCTATGTGTCTGCAATCAAGTGATGCTTTTTGCCTACTTTTAAGGCTCTGCAGGTTTAGATGATGCATTAAAGTCGCCTACTGCAAGGCGTTTAACTTTATCATAGGATAACGTACGTTTGCTTAGGTGGAACTCATCTACTACACATTCAGGACTGCGGTACACTACAACTAACTAAATATATTGCCATTTACATTTCATTCTGCACCAGTTCCTCGTGTAGTGTGTCACTGACTAGATAGCTCGTAATAATATGGTTCTTTTATTGTCAGAATAACCATACGACCCAAAAGTTTAATCTGTCAGCCATACTAAGTGACAAAACCAATCAGCTGAATTTTCCTACATACACTTCTGACATTAATTATACTTCTGAAATGGCTATGACATCAGGATTTTCTGCTTCCCCATACTTTTTAACTCC